AAACCATAAATAAACAGGCAGTTTATTCGGAGGAAACACATTTTGGAGAAACTTTCAGCTTTCAAAAAGGCTACTAAACAGTGCAAAAAGAGAGAAAAACCGGGTACAGTTTCCTCTTGCTCCTACTCCTTTCCTAATATTTTACCTTGACATTTGCCATTTATCAGATAAATGATTTGCACCAAAACGGGAATATTTCCATTGAGGAGAGAGGATGTGCACAGTCCAGAAGAATACTTTTGAGGGTGGTTCCTTTCTGTGCTTGGCTTCTGACCTCACAAGACTATTTTCTACCGTGAATGACAGTCAAATATAGCTTGCAGGATATGCTTGGCCAAATATAGCAACTCAAAGCAAAAAAGGCATTTTTTATAAAAATGTACCGAGACATCAATTTCATCAGGCATGACAGCCCTGCAGCTTTGTTTTGCAATCAAGAAAAAGTTTGGACATGTTCATTGACAAACACATTCTTATGATATTGACCACTGGATGTTAGTTACATGGTCTCTCTAGTTCTTTTTCTTGCCATGTGGGCAAGTAGCTCAGATCTGGAAGAGAACACTGTGTTTCTGTGGTTAATTATGGGAGGGAGCTGAGCCCAGTAGACCTCAAGTTGGTGCAGAGCCTTTACTTCTCTCAAAAGTTGTTTTTGTGGTAAAGCTGCTTCCTGGAACCCGGGAGTAGATGCTAGACCCCCAAAATGGACCTTCCCCAGTTGCTGTTGAGAAAAGCTGTCTGTTTTGCTTGCAACCACGAGTCCCATGTCACTTTGACCCTTGGAAACATACTCCCCCAAGTCCTCGCACTTTCCTGCACTTCAGGTTCCCTCTCTTGGCTACGTATCTTCCTTGGAACTTAGGCTGAGCCATGGAAAGAGAAAATGAACCTGCACCCTCATGGAGCCAAAGAGGAGAGACTCTGCCACACACAATTCCTCAAAAACTCTTAGCTATATCCTTGTCTTGCCTTTTGAACTACTGCTCTACGTTAGGTCCTTGTGTCTCCATCACACATAAACGCCAAAGGCTCTCCACCTTTTCATGTGAAGACCGTAGGCATTTTTCACTATCTAAAGTAGTCCCAAGGAAAAAAAAAATAAAACAAACCAAAAAAACCCCAAATTACAAGCCCAGAACATTTCAGTAATCTTCATAATCTTCAGGTGAAGGTCCCTGGTAAGTGTATAAAAGCAGAGCATTTTGTTTGCACAAGGCTTTAAGCATATGCTTAACCTTAAATGAGTAAGTCCCACGGAAAGAGGGCTCATATGTTTAAAATTACAGATGGGCTGTAGGGTTTTGTTGGTTTGGGATTTTGGACCACAAAACACACAAGGGAGATGTGCCAGGCTTCAGATGAACCACAAGGGCAAATTTAATCTCCTTAGAAATGTGCAGCAGACTTGATACAGATTTTCTGGTGCACAGATCAAAGAAGCAGGCGTACACTGGGCTAGCTTGTGTCTCCATGTGGGAAATAGATGGAGCAAATGTAAGAAAACAATGAATGGGGTTTCAATCTATGAAAGATTTCCTACATTTGGTAAAGAGACTCTGCCTGCTGACTAATGGCAAAGACTGGGGAATGCAGGAATTTCGCTGCTGTCCTGTGACTGCTTCAGACAAACCCCCAAACCTGCTACAACTACTGGCCTGAGTTGTTTGCTGCCAACTTCTTTCATCTCCTTGGAGAAAATGGGTTCCTTTACCCTCCTGGGAGAAGTGGTTAGGCAGAAGTGATTCCAGATGGGAGAGGATAGAATGGCTTTTGTATTCACATCTGTACAGCATATATGGCATAGGACAGTCCAAAGGGTTTGTGGAATTAGGTGGTAAATTGTGTGGCTCTGAGGTTGCTGTTGAAATCAAGGAGTAAAGAAAAAAGCTGTCTTTGAGGCTTCTGGTCTGTTTGAGTGTCTCTGCTGTAGGCATGTGACGTGCTGCGTTGCTCCTGGACTAAAGGAGTCACAGACACACGCTCTCGGTCATGTAACTTCAGATGAAATGGCCTGACCAGCAGGACATTTCCATCCTGCCTTCCTGTCCCACCGGGGACAAGGTATAACTTTGTGCCTCCCTGGAGCGGTTGATCAGTGGAATAAAGTAACAGCGTTTGTGGGAGAATTTAAGTGGCAAGATTAAAATGTGCTCAGAGCAAGAATTTGAAGATTCAGTGTTTCTATGAGCTGTCATAAACCAGGATTCCGTATCCTTCCCTAGACAGGACCTTGACAGCAATCAATAACTAGAAAAATGAAGCCAATTGTTGGCAGTGAGATTTAATATCTCTTCAATACAGTACTTTGTTTTATTTCTGTGTCTGGCTGTCATCTGCTGGGACAAGATCTGGGGAAGTGAAACAAAATCCAATTTTGGTTGCGTCTTCCACGATAGGAGCAAATCTGTTTTGCACCATGAGACAAGATTACACACTCCTCAGAACAACTGCTCTGTCCTCTGTTTGTCCCCCATCCCCGAACTCTTGAATTCCTCTAAAAGATTAAACGTAGTTCTGCTTTGACCTGGAAAACAAGGTATGTCTAACGGATTTTAAGGATTAACTTTTCCAAGGTGCATTATTTAACTCATTACTTCAGTGCTCAGCTGAACCGTCAGATTTCGTCGCTGTTGTGACACTTGGAATAATCTCCAATTAGACAACAACAGATTCTGCTGGGAAACCAGACATAAATCAGGCAGAGCCGAGTGCCGAAGCTAAATGGGCAGACTAAGCAAAACATGTGCTCAAGGGTCCCCTGCCTCTCTGCATGACTAGACATGATGAGATTTGCCGGGAGGTATGTGATGGGGGCCAGCAGTGAAGTGCACATGATGAGATTTGCCGGGAGGTATGTGACGTGGGCCAGCGGTGAAGTGTGGGTGTCAAATTCTTGGCACACTTGCCTTGCAACGCGAGGAGACACCAAGCAAATGCCTCGGCTTGGTACAAAGGCAGGGACTGTCTTAAGGGCAGAGTCCAGCTTTCTGCTGGCTCCGTGGCAGAGCTGCCTCCTCCTGCAAAGTCACAACAATTTCCTTGCATTGGTGAGATATTGGCATTATCAGTACCAGGTGGCAACAAGTGGCACAGAAGATTCTGCTTGTTCAAAGCAAAACAAGACCTGAGAGTCGGCAGCTCCTCTGCAGAGAGATGACCCTGTGAGTTATCCTGGCTGCAAAGGTGCTTCAAAGCAGCGCTGCTGCACCAGGGAGGGATGCACCATCCCTAACAGAGGCTGGTTTACAGACCTGTGCCAGAACTTTTTCTTCTGAGCATTTAATGGGACAATCCCTGCTTAATCCTAGACTCCACTGTAATTTTCATATTACCAGTTGAGACTGTTTATTCTCAGACTTCCAGGACATCATACAACAGGAGGTTTTGTTTTTCTCTAATTTAGTATTCAGCCCTCAGGTAAAATGTCACTGTAGGAACAAGTAGCAGATGACTTGCCTTACAGCTCTGGGCAATCCCAGCTCTGCCCCTGCTCAGTCCTGCAGCACCTTAAGGTCTCATCACACAGTTGCGAGTGAGCAACAGAGCAAGTCAGCACACACTTCTCCAAGGTCTAGTAGTGGAGGTACCAGCCTTATTCCCTTGACTAGTTTTAAACATGAGTCCTCACCTTAAAATAAGTATTATTTCCTAGTCTCAAACAAGTCCTGCTATTGCAGACACTAATCCTAATCAATGCCACAACTCCTAATCAGTGTCGACAATAGCTTTATCTGAAATCCAGAAAGGGGATAAACAGGTATTTTCCTGTTTCATTTACAAACTCTCCCCTCCCCCCATCAGGAAAATGTATGTTTAGTAAATACCTCTGATGACATGAAGCACTTTTTATTGTTTGAGTTAAACAAATGTCATAGACTTAATTAGTTACATTTTTTCCTAGCAAGAAACGGGAAGCCATTAAAACTACTGCATTAAAATATCCCTCAATTACTGCTTCTTTGCAGATGATTTCAATTTTGCTCATCTGCCTTCTCCTGCTGAGTGGTTTCAGCAGAGATGTTTGAGGAGCAGCAGAGGGTGAACTTCTGCAGGTCCTGCTCTCCTGCCCTGTGTGCCTGCATCTCTCTGGGCCAACAGCCCTGCACCCTTCCCACCCTCCCCATACCATCCTTCCCAGCAAGGACTGGTACTCCATGGCCCCTCCATCCCTTCTTGCCTCCCAGTCTGATGTCTCCATTTAGTTCCCCAGTTCCATATTCCCTAACTTGCCCCAGTCTGTACCATTCCTCTGTCTCCAGACAGAAAACCGTACCTAATTCCCAAACACCAAACCTCTGGACATCTTGTGTGCCCACAGCCCTGCCATTCTGTCCCTCTGGTGTCCTGGTGCTTTCCTGTCACCTACAACTCAACAGGCAACATTCAGCCTTGCTATGGTATTGCCTCCGTAACAAGAACAAGCAAAGAAACAGAAAAGGCATGAAGAAAGAGGATGAGAGGATGAGCAGATGAGCAGACAGAAAGCTTTTTAATTTGTGCAAGTTCAAAGCAATATGCTCTGAGGATAATGAGTATGATGTGCTGCTCATTTCAGTTCAGGGCCACGTTGAAATAAGCTGAGCCATTTAATTAATGAATATATTTAAAACAAGGAATAGAGGGATAAAAATCACTGAGAGGTGCAATTATTTCGACAGATGCTGCAAATAAGGTCCTGTAATTCCTCATGGAAGGATTGAGCTTAGCTAATTGTAATGCAGCGATTCCACAAAGCGGCTCTTTCTGGGGACTCTTGTGCCTCGATCATCAGGGCTGTCCTTTCACTGGGACTTCATTCAGGGACTCCTGAGACCTCATCAAAAGCTGAAAAGTGTTGCATTATACTACTGTGTATAAAATGGGGCAAGAACAACCATTGCATTTCAGATTAGTGAGCTGAGACAGGATCTTAGCATTGGACTCGTGTTTTCTTGAGCTCCTGACTGTATTGTGGTTGAACACATGGAAGGCACATCCAGACAGACACAAACGTGGCCTACATCATCCCAGGGATGCTGTAGTACCTCTGCGGTGTCATGGTCCGAAAAATGAACAAGGGCAAGGGCTTATGTATCCTTTTTAGTCAAAGGTGATGGCTGAAATTCTTAAACTCTGCCACTGCAGACTGAGAACAGCACGTCTGGAGAACTGAACTCTTCCTTAAAACAATTATCCATGATTTATGTCATCTCTAGCTTTTAATCCTTTTCATAAGTCAAAACACGTATTTTCCTCTTTTTTTGAGGATATTCTAGATTTTTAGACGAAGTTAAGAATATATCCTTAAATTCACCTGCTCTGAGACTCTAGCCTTAAACTCAAACCCAGGCTTCCCTTGTGCAAGTGTGCACAAACCATAAGCTTCTGCAGTGGGGGCCTAAAAGTCAGGGCTCAAACTTCTGCAGAAATTTGCCATTCGGGGATGAAGACAGAGGGAAGTGTTCACTTTGAGTGAGGTCTGATTTTGTTTAGAAATGAAATCTATTTACACAAGCTCTTTGCAGTTTAACAGCCACGGTTAAATCTCTTGTAACCCCACACAGCATTATCCCACCTGTTTGAGTAAGGTACTGGAAGCTGCAAACTCACATTTTCTAATTTCAGAAACTTGTTTACTTTCTTATTTGATAGCATCCTATCTTTTCTGATGTTTCATTTCTTCCATTTCCAGTTACAATTGACTCTTCCATTACTATCAAATGTTGCAAAAGATGAATTAGGCGGAAATAGATGTTTGGTACTTTGCTAATACTACTCAGCAGTAACAATCCAAAAAGCATTCTAAAGACTCTGAAAGCCACTCAGAAAAATAGATAACATTCATTTAATTTATTTTAGTGGTGCTGTTAGTGTCATCCTCAAATGTCATAGCATTTTCTCTTCTTTTAAAGGCAATTGAGAATCTGACTGCAATGCTGTTAGCCATTTTGCTACAACTGTTGATTTAACTTGAAAGGATGAGTGTTTTTATTGTGCAGAAAATGTCACAATAGAAACACCCTTTTTCCAGAATACACGAATCCTCCACCTTCTGAAAGCACGGCACTGCAAACTGGGACTGGCCTGGGGGCTCAGACCCACTTCATAATTAGACCAGGAGATGTCTTTGCAGAGACATTGAAGAGTGTCTTAGTCATTTTTTTAAGAATGCTACTGTCCCAATCAAAATAAAGAGGTTTTTTAAATGAAAATATTGCAGTATTCAAAACAGATGGCTATGCAAGCTGAGATTAAGGAGCTACCTGAGAATCCCCACTTCCACATGGCAATTGATGCGTAAAGTCCCGTGGTGTGGAGACTGGGTCCTCACCAACACCTGGGTCCTTAACCCCAACTCAGCTCTCCAGATTGGTTCCCATTTTGCTGCATTACTCGAGTACCTGGGACACCATTTATCTTTCTGCCTTTTACAACATTGATTAATGTCAGCTAAAAGCTTTCCACTGACTTTCACATCCCTCTGATTCAGATTTGTCTCCACAGACATAAACCACATGTTCTACAGAAGAAAATAGGAAAGATGAAAGGCAATGGGATTTTTTATTTTTATCGTATATTGGTTCTTATAAATATGTAACCTGATATTGATGTACTGCCATTTTTACCACTGAATATCCATTTAAGAACAGGAGACACTACACTGACATTAGGAGACCTGTTAGCATCAGCTGGATATATGAACTGCTTAAGACAAAGGACTTCTCACAGAAACTCATGTGCCTCCTTTACACTAAAAGAAAAATCTATCCACATTTCCATGACAGACAGGAGCAGTTCCCCTACAGCAGTTACAGCTGCTGCATTAACACAATATCCTAAACACCTACTTAGGATAAATTTCCACAGCAGCCGTTACCCTTCCTCGTGAAGCAGAGATGCTGCAGTTGAAAGGAAAGGGCTGTTCTGAGGGTCACACAGGGATGTTCCACAGCTGGGTGGTGTGGACATCACTGTGGTAAGAGATCTTCCTTCAGAGGTATAAACAGTCGGCACAATGAAAGGGAATTACTGAACAGGTTTGTAATTAGCCAAAGTAAGCACTACAGCTTAAGGGCACACATATCCCTTCAGCTGATGATGTAAACAAGCACTCAGTTATATTTAGTTCATAATCAGGAAAAAATCATGATGTACACTAAACATGGGAAAAGCACTTCAGAAAGAGCTCGTGCGAAACAAAATATTTACTAAGTCTCTGGGAAACCTACTGGTGGGAGATGTCTGACTTCTAGCATCACTAAAGAAATACCCTCTTACAAGCTCCTTGGAGCTGGTGGGGACTTTCTAAGAATATTCTTAAAGAAACTCCTATCCTAACATAGCTGCTCTTCAAACTAATGCTCCTCTGCTTCTCCCAGGTTCCAGCCAGCAGAGAGCTCTGCCTGAGACCTTCACCTCCGAGTACGACGTGGGAGGGACACATTGAAACCCTCATACAAAAAAACCAACAAAGGCAACAAACACACTGTGCTACCACGGAAAGAGACTTAATCATGTCCTTTTTCATCTGCAATTAACCTTACAGATGAAACAAGAAGGTCTCTGGTCCAAAACTGCTGATGAAAGAGAAAGGTGAAACACAGCTAGAAAAATCTCCTTCATTGCAGTGCTGCCATAAGCAAAGTGGAAAACCAAGAACCCAAATTTGATATGCTCTGTATCTGCCCTGTTAGTCTGACACATCATGTGAGTTGCCACTAATAGAAAATTCAGTTTATACCAACAGCCAGGCATTTGGGAACATGTTTGTTAACCCACACTGCAATTTTAAAGCAAAGTTTTAGCAGCTTAGGAGAGAGAAAAACAAAAAGAAGCAGCAAATATTTTGGTTTAGAAGCTGAGCACTCAGAGAACTTCTGTTTGCTACAAAGTGCAGAAATAAACAACGTCTTGTAGATACTGCCCTCATGCTGCCTTTTAATTGAACTACATAGATCAAGGAGTGCTACAGGGAAGAGAAAAACAAACCAGTGAGGAATTTAAATGAGGTTTAGGAAGAAATTAGGAAAGTCACGATCAACCCAGGACACAGTTGTAAATAGCACAGATCTGAGCACAACAATATAATGGATTTTCACATATATTGCTTGCAGCAGCTCTTAGAGATGCCTGTGCAGATCATCCCTCTCAAGCCAGACCCTACATTCATCATTCCCTCTCATATGTGTTATGGATGTCATTACAGATCGCTCTTGCATGAGCCCCCATATCCATACGTGTGGACAACACCTAGAAATATAACTCCAGCCATGGTTGCCTGAGATGTCTGGCTTTTACATGAACCACTGAGCCTTTCTCATTTGGTACTGATAATTTTTCTCATTAGAGGGCTGGCTGGCCCCAGGAATAAATAAATTGGTGACAAGCAGGCACTTTGGAACATTTCACCCACAGTGAAAGGAAAGCACTATGTTATGTTTTCTAATAAACTATTCTCTGTTATGACAAACTTTGTTAATCTCAAGGCCTGCTCCCTCTCCCCATCTCTTTCCACCTTGCTTAGCCATTTCATTCAACAGCTTCTTCTGCTTTTCACATTGAATGTAATGATCTGAAAAAAACAAGTAGCCACTTTACCTGCTCAATGCCACGAGGTCTGAGCTTCAACTGGAGATCCCAGATGCTACCAGATAATAAATGATTGTAATGATCATCTTCAGAAGAGTCCAAAATCCAAAAAGCAAAATTTGAATTCCACTGAAGTCAATGGGAGCTTTGCCAGAAACTTCAACGCTGGCAGGATTTCTTCCAACTTTTCTTTCACATTAGATTTAATTAGTGGTCGGTAATGAGGCACTCTTAAAATTCTCCACATCTGGGGAAAGAGAAACATGATTAGATTAGAGTGTACAGTTATAATTCACAAATTGGATTGTTAGAACTAGTTTTCCTAGGCTTTTTTTCCCCTTCTTTGCCAGGAATAACACAATTAAACTCAGCGTCTCCACACGTAATTCAGTCAGGAATGACTAAAGTGAGGTGGTGTTGAAGAAACCTGCTGCAGACTCCTGAAACAGAGGCTTGATTTAGGGTCCTCACTTCAAATTTGATGAAAGTCAGATTACTTCACATATGGTACTTCACAGAAGATTGCAAATTAACCACAAGTCACCCAAGAACATGCCTTCAGATGGAAAATACATCAAGAGGAAATTAGTCAAAAAGTAAACACTTTTTCTCTTCCATCAGGTTAATGAACACAGATCATTTTTCTTGTCAACAGTGTCCTCAGTTGAATCAAATGAGGTTGTGCTCCTTGGAAATGAGCATCCCTCAGAAAATCTGTGAGGACACCAGAAATGTGTCTCTGGTCTTCAGACCCACAGAAGCAAAGGGGTGACACCCACTGCAGTGCTGTGCCACACCACTGCCTGCTCAGCCCAACTCAGGGACTGGCTTAGCCCTCAAAACAAGGCTATTTGAGCCTTACATTCATTTATTCCAACACTGAATTCTCACTTGATTTACTGAGTCTACCAGATCTCTCCTCTGAGGACCTCCAGGTATTAGAAACAGAATAGAAGACAGCATCTTGCTTATTTTCTGACACTGAGCTCCAATAACAGTGTACAAATACACACCCAGAAGAAGATGTTCCATTGGAGTCACAGAAGTGGCTGTTCCAGAAAAGGTATTCTGGTGAGAATCCACCAAGTGGCTTCACAGGTCCATGCAGGGATGTCCATGCACTGGGGAAGGAATAAATAACAGTAGAGTGGTGTGGCGTGGCTAGTACAATAGATGCTCGTGGGATATGCCCAACAAGAAGGCTGCATGCATTGAAGAAGAGGGAAAATGGGGTGATAAACAGAGGAATTTCAGAAACTTGGCACATAATTTTTCTATTTCTTGGAAAGAAAATACTAACAAAACAAGTTCGTTTAGATTTGAGGATTCCATAGGAAACTGTTTCTTTGATTTGGACCAAGAATTTTCTTGGTCAGAAAAGAACAAAGATTGAAAGCTGAGCTCGACATAATACCGCGACATAAGCCCAAAGTCAGACACTAGCTGTAATAATGGCTGGAAATGTGGATT